CACATACTGGTTTGTGATGATTAATCATCTATCTTCACATGATCCAAGTGTTTAACATTTTGATTCAATCATTTACTTATCGACATTGACTCATGATTGCTGGTCTTTCCAGCAACATTGTGTAGTCTTCAGTGGCCTCATGGAAGCTCATGTACTTTAATTAGTGCAAATGAAGTTATTCCTTACCACATTGTCGTACAATATCTCTGTTCCCGACCTTGACTTCTGGTCAGGGTTGGTGAGGACGAGGACTGCATACTCCATAAACATTCCATAGCCTTTTCAGGCCATTGCTGGGGTGACAAACCATGCAGGATACATTTTTATTAACAATGATTCAAAATAATTAATTGCTAATCGACATTGATTCTCGGATTTGTGGGTTTCCATCTTATCTGAGTGTCTATAGTGGCCCTATGGGAGCTCATGTACTTTAATTAGTGCAAATGAAGTTATTCCTTACCACAATGTCGTATAATATTTCTGTTCCCGACCTTGGCCTCTGGTCAAGGTTGGTGTGGACGAGGACTGCATACTCCATAAACATTCCATAGCCTCTTCAGGCAGTTACTGGGGTGACAAACCATGCATGATACATCATTTTTATGATGATTTGAAGTGATTCTTGATACAGTTTCTGTTAATTTACTGTTAAAATGTTTTTTAATTTTTCTCCGCGTAGGTACCACAGCCTGTACATGAAATGCAAGGGAAACGTCTTCAAAAACAAGAGGGTCCTCATGGAACACATCCACAAGAAGAAGGCTGAGAACTCAAGAGCCAAGATGCTCAAGTAAATATATTTTTTAAATTTTATGCTCAAAAACTTTCATCTTTGTTTTTAATTGGATGGCTTACATTTTGATCGATGTTGATATTCAGAGTTGTGGCTGGTTCACTCCTCTGGATATCATTAGTGGCCTTATGGAAGCTCATGCACTTTAATTAGTGCAAATGAAGTTATTCCTTGCCACAATGTCGTATAACATCTCTGTTCCCGACCTTGGCCTCTGGTCAAGGTTGGTGTGGACGAGGACTGCATACTCCATAAACATTCCATAGCCTCTTCAGGCAGTTACTGGGGTGACAAACCATGCATGATACAAATCATTCATATATTTAATATATATATATATGACTTTTTTATTTATTTGTCATTTTCACTAAATACTTTTTCCTCCAACTGCAGTGACCAGGCAGAGGCCAGAAGAACCAAAGTGAAGGAAGCCCGCAAGAGACGTGACGAGCGCCAGGTTGTCAAGAAAGAAGAGAAGTTAAAGACATTTGCCAAGGAAGATGAAGAACAGCAAAAATAATCAGACAACTTTTGACCCGTTTGGGTGGTCTGATTAGATTTGTGCTGTGTGGATTATCTGGCGACTGTTTTTTATCTGAACTGGAGACAATTGTTATTCACACTGCTAATAAATGTGGATTAATTATGTCCCTTCATTAATTCAAAAATTTGTTCGCGAAAAATTTTAAACACGATTACTTATCAGGTTATATAGATTTATAAATAGTTAGGCAAAGTTATTGATTATATATAGTTATTAAGGATATATACGGTTATATAGATTTATATATAGTTATGTACAGTTATTGATTATATATAGTGATATATACGGTTGTATACATTTATATAGAGTTATGTAGAGTTATTGATTATATATATTTATATAGTGTTAATGATTATATGTAGTTATATAGTGATATATACGGTTACATAGGTTTTTATACAGTTATATAGTGTTATTGATTATATGTATTTATATAATGAAATATACGGTTATACAGATTTACATATGGTTATATAGTGTTATTAATTAAATTTGGTTATATAGTGATATCTACGGTTCACTTTTTTGACCGGCAGCTTCTCGAACAGCGCCTGAGTTTTAAATAGAAGGGCGCTATATAAATTCTCTATACCATAGTAAAGATTTATATATAGTTATATAATGTTATTGATTAAGTATAGTTATATAGTGATATGTACGGTTATATAGATTTATATATAGTTATGTAGAATTATTGATTATATATAGTTATATAGTGATATATACGGATATGTTGATTTATATATAGTAATGTAAATTTATTGAATGTAGATAGTCATACAGTGTAATATACGGTTATATAAATTTATATATAGTTATGTAGAAATATTGAATATATCTAGTCATATAGTGTTATATACGGTTATATAGATTTATATATAGTTATGTGGAGTTATTGAATATATATAGTCATATAGTGTTATATAGGGTTGTATAGATTTATACATAGTTATATAGTGTTATTGATTATATGTAGTTAAATAGTGATATATACGGTTACATAGGTTTATATACAGTTATATAGTGTTATTGATTATATATAGTTATATAATGATATAAACGGTTATACAGATTTATATATAGTTATGTAGAAATCTTGAATATATATAGTCATATAGTTTTATATACGGTTATATAGATTTATATATAGTTATGTGGAGTTATTGAATATATATAGTCATATAGTGTTATATAGGGTTATATAGATTTATATATAGTTATATAGTGTTATTGATTATATGTAGTTATATAGTGATATATAGGGTTACATAGGTTTATATACAGTTATATAGTGTTATTGATTATATATAGTAATATAATGATATATACGGTTATATAGGTTCATAGCATAACTATATATAATCAATAACACTAAATAACTCTTTATAAATCTATATAATCGTATATATCACTATATAACTATATATAATCAATAACACTATATATCTATTTATAAATGTATGTAACCGTATATAACACTATATGACCATATTTATTCAATAACTCTACATGACTATTTATTTATCTATAGAACCTTATATATCACAATATAACTATATATAATCAATAACACTATATAACTTTGTATTACTTTATATAGTTATGTAGAGTTATTGAATATAGATAGTCATATTATTACGGTTATATTGATTTATATAAAGTTATATACCTGCTGAAGTACCTGGCACACGTCTCAAAGGCCGTCCAAAGAAGTCCTGGTCGCAAACAATCGAGCAAGACATGAAAGCTCTAAATTTAAATGAAATGGATACTACTGATCGTCTAATTTGGCGCAAAAACTTGATGGGTAAGAAAACAACGTCCAACCTCGGGGAACCGGGTCTCTGGACGCAAAACGAAGATTGATTGATTATGTATCAGGTGTCAGATCTTGGCAATTTGTGAGCGATCTTAGCCTCACGTGGGCCTTGTTGCGTGTTTTTGACCGATCATTTTTTGCAAGTTCGTGATCATTCAGTCGTAAAAAAGTGATTTGTGTTATGTAACGACAAAGTTTTTGAATTCGTTAGTAAAGAGACTGATATTTTTGACGCGTCCTATTGAGAATACTACTACGTAACCATAATTCTTTTTGCAAGAATGAAACTAGAACAAATAACAAACT